GGCTCCTCCTCATCCTCACTGTCCGGGGCTCCTCCTCCTCACTGCCCAGGTCTCCTGACCACTGCCTGGGGCTCTTGGTCACTGCCCAGGGCTTTTTGTGCCTCCTAGAAGAGCAAAGTCATTGTTTTTGTTACAAAATCATCTGTTCATTTTAGTCACAGAGGTTCCCATTTTTTTCAGAACTTTCTCCTGGGTGCAGAACTAGTGCTCTCTCATCCCTGGTGTCCCTCGGGCCCTTCCCCACACGTGCTCTGCTGGCACGGCTGAGGGTGCGCAGCACATGGAGCTGAGTGAAATGCGCCCCCTGCCCTCCAGGTGCTGAACATGGCAGGGAATCCCCCCCCAGAGGCAGATGCTGCATGGGGGTGGACAGACATGGCACACGGCCGTCAGAGCCAAGACAAGGCCATCGATGAGGCCTGGGAGACAGGAGGTGGGGACGGCAGCTTTGAGGGCAGTGAGCTGGGCTTTGCAGGCCAAGCAGGGTCTCACCCAGAGCACGCAGGGCAGGAGGGAGTGCAGCCTGGCCCTCTGTCCTCACAACCTCAATTCTGTTCAGGAGCCCTCTGCCCAGCATAGCTCAGGGGTGTCGGGTTGAGGCCAGTTCAGGTGACCCCTGTCTCCAGCCAGTGACTGCCGAGGGCACAGTTCTGTGATTCAGTCCTGTGCAAGGCATACGGAATCTAGCACGGGGCTTCTAGAACACACTCTCCATTGAAGAAGAGAGCCATGGGAAGAAATGGTTGTTTCTTGTTGGGATGCTATCACATCTGGTGTGAATACTGGAATGGCAGCTGAGGAAAGCCAGCTGAGGATGGCAGAGCAGAGACAGGAAGATACCCTGGCCCTTGATGTCATCATGGGACCAAGGAGTCAGGACCTCCCACGCTGGGCTTCCGGAATGTGAGGCCTAAACACCCTTGCTGTGGGGGGGGGCGGGATTCCTTCTGTTGCCACGGGCAACCAAGCCTACACAGCAGACTTGAGAAACAGATTCCCTGAGCCCAAGTCACAAGTTATGCAGGAGTGTGGCTAAAGACGGAAGACGGAAGCATGAAGCAGGGCAAGGTGGGACCCAGAAAGACCTGGGATCATGCTCTTTGGGAATCAGAATCCCCAGAGGCCTGAGCACTGGCTCAGGTAGGAGGACCCTTAGAGCCCTGGGGCTATGGGGTCAGAGGTCATGGAAAACAGGGACAGGATACAGGAACTGAAGGTGGCCTGGAACTCCCAACAGGAGGTCAGAGCCCAGGGCATCCTTCTAAGGCTGAAACTTCAGTCGGTTTGTAGGTGAAAGTGATTTCAGCTGCGAGAGATGAGGCAAGCGAGGCCAGTGCTCGTGCGGTGAGACTCACGGGCGGAGAGACCGGCCTGGGTGCTCCTTCGTTGGACCCGAAGCTGCCAGAGGGGTCCGGTGAAGAAGCGAAGAAGCTTGGTCCTTCATTCTTTCCTGGGCATCTGCACTTGCCTGTTCTAGAGGAAGGATAGGGAACCGTTTTCTATGCAGGGCCAGAGAGTATGCATTTCAGACCTTTCAGGAGAGGCAAAACTGGAGATGTTATGTAGGTACTTACATCACAAGAGAGAAACACATTTCCACAAAATTTTCATTGACAAAATTCAAATACAATAACAGTACGGTTTTTCATAATATAGGTCTATTAATGAGAAGCGTGGAATTGTTTTCAATTAAATTATTTAAATCGTGGTAAAATACACATGACATTCACCACTCTGACCATTTCTAAGCGTGCAGTTCCGGGGCAGTCAGTGCGTTCACATTCAGCTACCAAGACTGTGCCATTAGACGCCAGTGCTCTGTCCCCGCCTCCCCAGCCCCTGGCAACCACTATTCCGCTTCCTGTCTCTATGGCTGTGACTCCACGGGGCACCTCATCTGAATGGAATCATACAGTATTTGTTTTTTGTGTGACCGGTTTATTTCACTGAGCATAGTGACCTCAAGGTTCATCAATGTTATGGCATGTATCAGAGTTCCTTTCATTTCAGGGCTGGACATTCGGTGTACGTATAGATCACATTTTGTTTATCTATTCATCTGTTGACAGACACTTCAGTTGCTCCATCCCAAACAACCCAAGTCAGGCTGGCTGTTGTGAATGATGCTGCTGTGAACGTGGGTATGCAGATGTCTCCTGGAGACCTTGCTTTGCGAACGTTTCAGGTGTACTCACAAGTGAAATTGCTGCATCACGTGGTCGTTCTAGTTGTATCTATTTTTTTGAGACGGGGTCTTGCTGTCACCCAGGCTGGAGTGCAGTGGTACGATTGTGGCTCACTGCAAAATCGAACCCCTTGGCTCAAGTGATCCTGTTGCCTCAGCCTCCTGAGTAGCTGGGACCACGGGTGCACATCACCCTGTCTGGCTAATTATTTTTTCCTTTTGCAGAGATAGGGTCTCACTACGTTGCCCAGGCTGGCCTTGAACTCCTGGCCTCAAGTGATCCTCCCGCCTCAGTCTCCCAAAGTGGTAGGTTTACAGGTATGAGCCCCTGTGCCCAGCCCTATTTTTAATTTTTGAGGATTCCCCATTCTGTTTTCCACGGTAGCTGTGCCATTTTGCGTTCCCACGAACAGTGCACAAGGTTCTAATTTCCCACAACCTCACCAACACTTGTGATCCTTGAAATTCGTTTTCTGTGTACAGGAGA